TCCGTACTAACTTAGAATTGCTTTAAAAGCACCATGAGGAAATAAAAAACAAATTAGCTGCAAGGTAGCTGTGGTTTATAGGAGAAATTACTAGTCCTAGGGAGAGGAGTTCCAAATCCACAGCCCATGGCTAATGTGGACTTTCCACATGTGATTTCTTTGTCCTGGTCACGTGGGCCTTGAACATGTAATCACTTTCTCATGGTCATGTGCACCTCCAACATATGGTCTCTTTCTGACTTAATTTTCCAGTCTGTAAAGGGGAATGGGATGGATAGAAATACCACCTATTGTAAAGGGGAACGAGGGGAATAGAAATACCACCTACCACCGTCATCCACCTCCCAAGTTGTTGGAAGCCCTGTATTGGAGCCCTGCCTTCTATGCCTCATTCTGCTACTGGTGGACTTGCCAACAGGACACAGTCCACTTAACGTCAAAAGTAATGGGACTGTTCCTTACGAGGCAATTTCATATAGAAGGCTCCTGGAGGGAGCAGCAGAAAGGACACTCCAATGACCCTTCCTGGGGACACCTTCTTATTCCCAAGTCCCCTCTCTGCACCAATTTTGGCATCAAATTTGGTCAATTCTTCCTCTCCAATAATAAAATTAACAGTAACCACAACTATTGAGTATTTTTCTCAGTGACGTGGATTTAAACGTATATCATATGTCATCTCATGTAACCCTCAGAAATAGAAGCTCTAGAGTGGGCTCTGATGATGGTCATGTTATATCTAAGAGAAAAGAGGATCTGACGGTCAAACAACACGGATGAGATCACCCAGCGGGTAATAGGTAAGAGCTCAGATTTTAACCAAGTTCTTCGGACATGAAGTGGCTGCTACATCCACTTCCTCATTACCTTTAACTTTGTTCTAAGGCCATTATCACCTCCCTCTGGGCTACTGTGGGAGCCTCTACCCCCCTGTGATCTGTCCTACCAGCACTGTTGAGTCCTCTTCTCCAAACCCAATTCAATTTATACCCTGGCTCACAGAACCCGGCAAGGTGCACCACAGAAGCCAGGGGCTTCCCATAAATGTTTGTCCACTGAATGAAACGTCTGCTCAAACGCTACCATGCCTTCTCTCTATGAATCTCCCTGGAAGTCAAGTTCCTCCAGCTCTGGCTTTCCCTAACCTTGGCCACCTTATTCAGTGAACATCTTCCTTACCCACTGTTATGAGCTGACTGTGTCCCCTTCCCCTAACCACCCCCCCCAAATTCATATGTTGGAGTCCTAACTCATTGTGATGCTGCTTCTGAGAGGCAATTAGGTTTAGATTAGATTTTGACAGTGGAGTTACATGACAGGATTAGTGTCTGATGAGATTAATGGGAGAGAGGGAATTGATATTCATTCTCTCTCTCTCTCTCTCTCTCTCTCTCTCTCCTCTGTCTCCTCCCCAGAAGCAGACTCGGAGGAAAGGCCACGTGAGCACACAGCAAGGTGTCTCTGTACAAGCCAAGGAGTGGGCCCTCTTTAGATAGCAAATCTGCCTATACGTTGATCTTAGACGTCCCAGCCTCCAGAACTGTAATAAATAAATGTCTGTGGTTTAAGCCACCAAGTAAGTCTACGATGTGTGGGTCATTGGGAACATTTAGAGACACACAAATATCAAGAAACATAAAATCTGTGTGGACAGAAACAAATGAAGCCCTCCCAGCAAAACCCGTAAGCCAAACCAGTCGAAACTTGCACGAGTGAGTCAGAAGGATGCTGTTAACTGTGTTTCTTGGAAGTGAAATAACGGACTGTAACAGAGTCTGTCTCAAAACCCACATACTTCTATAGCAGCCTGAATAGACTAAGACACCTATACTGGACCTTCTGTCTCCTCCACTCCCCAGAATGTCCTTGCCTCTGCCTGGAACCCCCTTTCCCGAACTCCTACTGGTCATCCTGCCACCAACACCCATTCTGATGTGACTGGATGAAAAGCAACTCCTTCCAATATACGACATAGTTCTCTGCTTAGTGAGCCTGAGCTCAGCATAGGGTTCCCCTCTTTCAGCTCAAGCCAGGGCAGGCATTTGTAAAACACTCACAGAAGGTTCTAGAACACATTCTGCCATGCCTACACAGATATGGTTACCTGTGTTCCTGATCTATCTAATCAAATCTCTTCTGCCCAGGAAGTGAGCCTTTGTCTGAAGTCCCAGCTGAACAAGCACTACCCATCTTGTATATATTAAAGCTACAACAAGGGCTTTTGAGTTTCAGATGCAATATCTATAAACCATCTCGGTGGGAGATAGGATATCAAGTAAAAACCCCACAGTCAGATGGCACAAAAACAGGCAGCCCCTGCCCAGGCTATGCCTTCCAGTTCTGCTCTTCAACCTACCCAGGAACTTTGCATTTAAAGCACCTCTGCTCTTTCAAATGAACAAACACACCCACGGGACAAGATCTTCTATGAAGATACGAACCCACGGAGGATGAGTCTTGAAGTCTTCTGTGTGGTTAACGTACTAAACTGACTAAACTAATAAATAGGAATCCATCACTCTGTTTTTTAGGTTTGTTTGTTTGTTTGTTTTTGTTTTTGTGGTTCTTGGCCGGGGCTGGTTTTTTTGAACCCGCCACCTCTGGCATATGGGGCTACTCCTTTGAGCCACAGGTGCTGCCTTTAGGTTTTTTGTTGGTTTGTTTTTTTTTAATTTGGTTTTGGTTTTTGCATCTTCAATTACAAAAACGTCTACCTATAATGTGGTGACTGGGAAATTAACTGGTCCCAAATGGAAAAACCAACATGGCTCCCAATGTGTTCTCTACAGTGCAAAGCACCCAAGGGGTCCTCTGAGACTATTATGAAATGCAGTAGTCACTGGGTGAAAGAATATAAAAAGTAGGAAGATGGGGGGGAACACTTTAAGATTAAACTGGGTTGTTTTGTTTTGTTTTGTTTTGAGACAGAGTCTCACTTTGTTGCCCTCAGTAGAATGCCATGGTGTCATATCTCACAGCAACCTCAAACTCCTGGGCTCAAGTGATTCTCTTGCCTCAGCCTCCCAAGTAGCTGGGACTACAGGTGGCCACCATAATGCCCAGCTATTTTTAGAGGCGAGGTCTTGCTCTGGCTCAGGCTGGTCTCGAACCTGTGGGCTCAGGCAATCCACCTGCTTTGGCCTCCTAGAGTGCTACAGTTACAGGCATGAGCCACTGTTTCTGGCTTAAGATTCAGCTGTTAAATTCAGTCTTTAGGCAACCTAATAATTTTTCCCTCCAAAGGGGTAATGCTGGTCTTTGCTGGTCTACAGCTAAAACTTTTGAGAATTTCTTCCTCCCAGGTAATCGGTATTGATTAAGGTCAAGAGACAAACTAGGCTAACCCTCAGATTATGTAGGATTTAAATTCTTCAGATGCCTCCTGTTAGTCTGATAATGTTCTTAAAGTTCAAAACTTCAGAATGCATAAATGGAGTTTTGTATGAAGCTAGAGGACGGCTTCTAGACTGGTCGTCTGAATGAAGACCTTAAAAAATGCTGCTTTCCCCTGTATAATAAGGATGAGGAAATCTTCCAGCGAAGTCTAATGGGAGCAAAATAGAACAACATATGGGAAGAGATTGTGGGATTAACTAATTACTTGATATGCTGCAGAATAAGACATGGGAAGCTTTCCAAACTTTTCAAAGAAGTTGTTGTAAATTCATATTAAACAGCTGAATTCTACACTTTTTATATTAAAAAAGGAAACCAAAGAAGCCAAGACTGAAACCTCGAGGCATTCGTTTATTCAATAACACTTAATATTAAGTCTACCAGTAAACTAAGAGATATCTAGCTATCCAGAACTGCAAATTTGCATTCCACGTGAATAAATAAACTCTGCTTATATTCTCCTTTCATCTTTTGCTTTCCAAAGTTAGTGACACAAATATAGTGACACAAATAGTAAGGAGTCTTAGTACAGGACTCTCTTTAGTGACAGTAACGACTCAGAGATTTAGTTCATTGCATTGAAATTTAAACTAGCAAAACACTGATAATTATGCTCCCAACCGTTTTAATTGCTGAATCCATGACAACTAAATATAAGAGAAATTCAAGAAAAATGTGCTTTAATGAAAATCTATAACTTCCCACAATGTAAACAACTGATAAGTTTCCCTAAATAACATTCTCCCTGCCTCTCTCTACCTCTATCTCTCTCTTTCTCCACCCCTCCCTCTCTCTCTCTTTCACATACACACCCCAATAAGACTCATAAATGTTAGCTGACCAGCTAAGGAATATGATAAAGAAAGGTTAAAACAAATCTTATAATCAGTGATTTTATTCAAATCATTGCAGTTTAAAGAACAAGTGCAGAACGGATCTAACATTCAGGCAACCAAAAATTTAGGCTGCTCTAACGTCTAGCCGCAGATACTTCCCACAGATCATTTCCATTTTCATAACCCGGTTTCTGTGAACGCATCCCCTCCAGCTCCGATGAATGGAAAACAGTAGCGAGACAGCCAAAGCGGCTCCATTTAAAGAATCACAGCACAGTGCCATGAAAATTCTGGCAAGTGCCCATCCCTCCTTCCCTCACACCCAAACTCTCAGAATTAAAGCAAACAGTTCATCAGGTAAAGAGCTTTGACCTTACCCTTAGCAATGTCAAATTTGCATTTCCTGGTGGGTGGAGGAGTTAACATTTTTTTTAAGTGCCAAGGTGGCCATCAGATGTCAGATGCCAAGTCATCATTAACTTCTCATTTGATGCCAGTTTCCATTTTTAGCCTAGTTTTACCCCAATGTTTACCTTTGGTAAGTGCCTTAGACTAACTGCTCTCATCAAAACAAAACAAAACAACAACAAAAAAGCTAAAGAACTGGAAAACCAACATAGCAACACAGTTTGGTTCCATTTCTTATGACTGCATTCCTGCCAACATTTTTTACCTGGCACGTCGTCTTAAATTCTATCGAAATACTCTCTGTGTTTGTGAAAATCAATCATTTTGAACCTCATGTTTTAACCTGAAATTTGCACTTACCTTCAGGGAAAGGATTAGGCTGCACCACGTAGAGAAAGTTCTGCACCATATGGAAGAGGATGCCAATGGGTCCAGCCTTATAGGAGTCTGGGGTCTCATAATTCACTTCAGGCCATTCGTAATGCAACACCCCAGGAGGGTCTGTGGGCGACTGCTGCCCTCCAGAAATGGAGTTCCCACACAGCCCCAGCAGCAGCAGGAGGGTGAGCCTGAGCGCCATAGCTAGCAAGGTCCCCCAAGCATGAGGTGGAACCGGGTGCCTCTTGTCTCAGAGCTTCCAGAAGCCTTGGGGAAGACGGGAGTGACCTGTGCATTAGAGGAGTGGTGGGCACTGATCTGCGGAACCTTCCGTCGTCTGGCTGGGCTGGCTTGCAGCAAGGGGCACGGAAGAGTGTCCTCCCAGGGGGTCATTCACCAAGCCACCATCCCTGGCAGGGAGAGAAACAGCATCAGTGACACCAATGCCTGTAACAAGCCTGTAGGAAACACCAGGAGCTGCTTGGGAGAAGAGGTTTCAGAGGTTTAGGCAAGCCTTGCAGCTTAATCCAGGTGGGTGGGTAGAAACCAAACCCACCAGAGCACAGAGCACAGTCGTTTGCCGAAAAGCCAGGACTCCGAGACCACCCTTCTTCAATCCAGCCAGACCAGGCAAGAACGGACAAATACCAGGTAGTGCAGAGAAAGCTATGTGGTCTCGGACATTTACGGAGCACTCACCACACTCCATTGTTTAAGGCATTATCCCATCTTACAGACAAGGAAACCACTGCAGAGAAGATTTGGTGAGTCAGGGGAGATCGACAGTGGGGCCAGAATTCGAATACAGCAGTTTACCTTTAAACCCAAATTGTAACCATGTCACCAGACAGTGTCCCTACAGAGCTCTCCCTCTCGGGCTCTGGTCCCAGCTGGTGGCCTCAGAATCAACTATATGCTTACTTTTTCTCCCAGCATGGGTTGTCCTGCCTGCCTCTGGAGATGGATCCTGACACTGATATTCTACTTATTTCCTCACT